ATGAAACAGTGAAGCACAGTTCCTAGGCAGCACAAAAGCACAATCTGATATTCCTGTGAGGGACAGTTGGTGCAGCGCACAACACAATACAGCTGTGCTTCTTTGAGGTGTTTACCAAATGACCCAAAGAGTGACTTCAGCATAGGAGGGTTAATGAGTTTTATGCATAGAATGTACACACGTTTTCCATGAACAGATGGACGAGATAGATGACAAAGAACTGCGTCTGCGCATCCTGTCAGAGGAGTACGACCGCACCTTGCGCCTGTACCAGACCACACAGGAGAAGGCCCGCAAGGAGGTGCACCAGATCAAGAACCGGCTGGACCACGAGCGCAGCCTCAAGCTGGATGCCTTCCAGCGGGTGGACGAGCTCCAGACCCAGGTCTATGACTATGAGGCAGCCGTGTCAAGCCTGTCCAGGCCCTACACAGCGATGAGTAAGTGCACTGCTTGATAGTTGGCAAAAGTTTGTGCCCTTTATTTGCCCCAGTATTGAAGCCAAAACCCCACAAGACCACCACAAGGTCAACAAAAGGTCTTCGGTCTAATTTCAAATCCCAACAAGCTCTTCAAAAGAATTGCAACAAAGACATTCGTGTATCATTGACCATGCTATGTATATTTATGTTGCAGCTCCTTCTCTTTTATATGACAGGGGTCGAAATTAGCGGTAGTCCGCTAGCCCGAGGCTAGTTATTTTAGTGGGAGGACTAGTAGTTCCTACTTGTCGGTAGTCCGACGGGCTAGTGCCTTTTTTAGCGGGGGCATGAAAAGAAATACACACCGTAAATGTAACACCATACCGTGCAGTGGTATTTTGATTGCAGATGCATGTACATGTACATTTGTACAGCCTACCGTTACGCTGTAGACACAACAGGTTCTTTCCATACACAACACGGCCCATGCGTACATGTATTCACTTCGAGCTGATACTCTACACATGTAGGCCAGCCACACGACATTGTACGCATCATACAAGTGTACGTGTGGATTTCACGGTACCCCATACACTTTAACGATATATTGTGCAACGAGAAAAAACGTTTTCTATTGGGCTATCGCGAAAATAATCCAGCGTTTTGTCCAATCAGCCTGCGTGTTTGAAGCGACAACAATAGTCTTTTCAGCACATAAGATTGATTTCTACTGGCTGTTACTTAAAAGAATGAAACGATTCGGCCAATTGCATTGTGCGTTAGAAACAATACAATTTTCCGAGCGCACATGGATCGATACCGTCTTTTCAGATTCGCGCAATTTAGGAAACGATATGAGTGCCAAAAATCCAAAACTTAATTATTTTAGTTTGATTTTAAAAATTGTGCAAGCAATATAAATGCAGACAATGACATCGATCATTAATCCTTCCTCTGCTAAGCAAGTAGGAAATAAAATTGTGAATGAATGCTGTTTTGGGTTACTTTAACTTAAAGTTTTAATGTGAAAATCCTATATTGGCTTGCAAAAACTAAAGTGAACGTTGCTAGTCTGGGGACTAGAATCGTGGAAAGTAGCAGTGGTCGCCTCCTGGGACCTGCATGCCTGCTGGAGAGTAACATAAAATGTGGAATAGCAAATATAATGCATATTAAACCATACTTATATACATGTAAATGAAAAGAATCCTGCGTTGTTTTACTGTACTTAGGCCGATTAGCATTTTTGTAGGACTACTGAAAAACTCAAAGGACTAGTAAAACAATGACATCACTAGTCCTGTGGGCTACCATAGAAACCAAGTTAATTTCGACCCCTGTGAAAAGTCTTACACTGTACACGTAGCAGTAAAATGCACCTTGCGTCAATTGAATAAGTGATCTGGTCTAACTTTGTCAACCTTTTACATGTTAAGGTTTTTCATTCCAGATAAAAATAAGTAAAAGCAAGTATAATTCAAATAGTGTTTTCATTCAGAGCATGGCATTTTCAGTTTTAAGAAAGTCCCTGAATGCCAAAAGAAGCATGGTAAGGACGGACGACCATTTAGACCTGGTTTGAAAAGGGCCCCCGTAGCCCACCCTGTGTAATGCCTGCCTGGTATTCAGGCTACTCCAGGCCAGTATCAGGCCTGTCTGCACATCGGCATTTCAAAGTCCCTGATGGAAGGCTTCCCCCACCACGACCAGATGAATAGGGGTCTAAGCGGATTAGTGTAAACATTGTATAGAGCTGAAGGATTGAAAACCACAAGCAGGTTCCTTCTGGGATAGATCACATGTACATGTACCAGTACTTGCAAACAAGTATGGAAGGGGTTTTTGCAACAGGGCGAGCTTACCTGGGGGGGGGGGCTTTTCAAACCGGGTCTAAATGGTCACCGGCCCTAAACTAGCTGCAATTTATGTTTTATTGGAAAAAAGTTAGAGCAAAAATTAAATATTTTCTTGGCGCACTTTTTTGTTTCTCATATGGTTTTCATAATTTCATTCTGAAACCAACTTATTGGGAGCAGATGTACGGAGAAGAAGAGGTGTAGTATTATTAACTTTTGACCCCTCAACCTTCTCTTCAGGAGGCTGTTTATTTTGGTTCAAGTCTTTGCTGTTAGTCGATAATGTGCTGTTTAAGGCTTTGGCTTTGCTGGGTAGTAAATGGTGATTTTTTGTTCAGGTGTTGGTGTGGACATTTGTGGCTATTTAGTTTTTGGCCCAGATTTGAGTGTTTTTGTTGGTTTGTATGATAAAGTGTAGTATTGACAATTGTCAGGTAGCCAAAAGTGAGTTACAGTGATTTTTGATTTCATGTGTCATGCTGAAGATCAACACATACATATACATACCGAAAGTTGTGGCTGTTTCATACATGCAGTATGTATTCACTTTGAATGCATTTTGCCAGCTTTCACCATTCAGTTCACTTCAGTATGCTGCAGTTTATTTTTTATTTAATTTTGTTTTGCCTTTTTGAAAAAATTGTTGAAACCAGTTTCCTACAATACAAATTGTCATTCTTCATATGCAGTTGTCATAAATCTATAAGATTAGTACTGTTGTACTTGTGGAATACGGGAAGTACATGTATCTCTCATTGAACTTAAGCAAAGTCAAGTTTGCAGTAGTTTTTGTCGCAACAAATTTATATTCCTAAGCCGTAAAGCTCTTGCAAAATGTTTGTTGCCTTATTTTTGTTCTGCTTGCTTTGCATGTGTCACTATGCCTTGTGCTTCTCAGGATTTTTTGTAAAATCTGGGCATTTTTCTGTTTGCAAAACAAGTGCAGTGTTTTGTTTGCAAAACAAGACTATTTGAAAACGTCTTTAGCAAAATAATGTTCTCGTTTTGTTTTCTAATTTAATTCTTACTTCATTCCTGTCTTTATTTACTGAAAATGTGTTGAGTCACTTTCATTTGTGAGTTTCATTACAAGTATTGGACGTAACTGCAAAAATAAGTGTTGTAGGCAGGCCTTAACAAGTCAGTCACAAGTCATCAAGCCTGAGATTAAGTAACAAGTTTTTAAAATAAACTGGCAAAGATGTTCTTCTGGTTGTTATTCATGTTCCCTGTTACTAGTTGATTTGACTTGTGATGGCTCAGACTACACCTAAAAAAAAACAGTTGGCATCTAAGAGAAAGAGAGAAAGAAATCACTTGACTCAAGTTCCTAAATTTTTACATTATAGCCCATTTAAGCAATATTTTACCATTTGAAGTGCCTTGTTTGTCACTTTGTAGATGCCTTGTCTTGGCACATGTAGCTTTGTGTTTGTTATGCTGGAAACTCTGTGTCTTCAGTCACATTCTTAATAATTTTTTGATTCCTAAGCTGATCTGTGCATTGTTTGTGTTGTGTTTACATTCAGCTGCAACTACACCAGGACGAAGTGCCATCCCAACACCTGGGGGTAGAACAAGTAGAACGAAAAGCAGAATTGGTGTCTCTCAGTCACAACGTAAGATTATTCATATCCCTTGTCCCCCCGTCCTCCATTTAAGACCTTACATCAAAGCTCAGTTTTGTAGAGCTTACACAATCTAAGCTAAAATACTAGCTGGCAAGTGAAGAACCTGTTTTTGCTAATGTGCACAATTCAAAATCTGGCTTTAGTTTTGAAGCAAAAACTTTTTCATGTGCAGCAATCAATGAAAGAAGATTCGTTAACTTTAATTTAGGTTATTGTCCTTCACCGACGTATATTTATAATTCTAATACTCAGGGCATACGTACATGTAATGAATATGAAAACCTACATGTATGTTTGCAATAAAGAATATCTCTTTTTGTTTTGCAAACCTTTAGCTGGTAGTCGGACAAATAGCCGGTCTAGTTCCCCATCAACACTCCGTATACAGCAAGGCTTAGCTGTGAATGGTAGCACAGCTACTGCAGCACGAAGACGCAATAAGAGCGGGATACCAGTGCCTCGTAGTCAGGGCACCAGTAGGGAAGCCAGCCCCAGCAGATACAATTTTGGTGAGTTTGGTCGTTTACTTATTTCCTAGTCAATATTGGTATTCACACTATCAGTGAAGTACATTGAAGAGCATTGTACCTGTAAATTGCCTCATAGCATATGCTTGAATTTCTGGCTTCAGCTTCTCGAGATCGTCGACTGAGTAATTCTTCAGGGAGTCAGACCCAGAAAGAGGTGAACCATAAGGGCAATATCTTAACACAACGAGTCTTGGAACCAGGGCAAGATGCTGAGACAGCGCTTGCTATGGCCTTGGTAAGATACACTTTTCTAATCTCCTACCATTGGTTTATTCCAGGCTGGTTTTTCATTTATGACCCACTCAGGTTTTTTATTGACATTTATTAGGTCAATGTGGACCATTATTTCTCAGTTCAGTTCATTATTCTGAAAGTGAGAATTGCTGATTCTCTCCCCTTGCCTCGTTGTACTGGTCTTTTGCTGACATTTATTCAATCTTACACAAATACAAAGGAAAATTACTTTGATACTGATTTTCAAATTAAACAAATGGATTGAAAGTCACATATATACATGTATTTGTATCGGTGACTTAGGAATTTTTACATCATGTAAAGTACATGTACATGTGTAGACCAAACACCATTTAAATAATTTTGAACATTCTTTTGAACTATAAGCTCTGGTCCATCAGTGTGCCCTGGTCTGCATTGTTTGCCCATAACAATTCAAAATTACAACACATGCTAATCCTTAATGCACAGGTGCACAGTTTGAGTATGAAAACACTCATCGCACTGAATGACCACACAAAATTGTTGGCCTAAAACAGACTTCTAATTCTTTTGATGCACTTGTTCTAAATGCCTGTCATTTAAATGCATGCAAGCATTATCTAGGCTACAACTGAACGTTGGGGCTGCAGTTGGAAATAACAAGCGCCTATAAAAGCCATTGGTTAGGGTTTGCAGTCACTTACCATAGGTATATGTATTCTTTACATGGGAGTCAGAATCACAACACCACTTGATTGAAAATCTACATTGTTGTGAACTTGATGATGTTGATAAACATGTTATTGCTGAGTTGTTTTTGATGTTGGCACCATTCCATGGACAGTTCCAAAGTACCGTAATTTTTGGAATATCAGTCGCACAGAGTATAAGCCGCACCAAGCAAAAATCTGCAAATTAAGATTTTCAAGTTTGGGTATTAGCCGTACCGGCGTAAACTATAAGCTGCACCACTGCACACTGGTTGAAACTTTGAGTTCACACTTGATGATTCTTATCAGAACCACACTTGTTCCAAAAGCAATCTATCCACATGGTGTTACTGTAAGCCCTCTCTGTAATGTCTAAGTCATCGCACATTCTGCACTGCTGAAGTGCTACATGTAGAGTATTACATGACATACTTCAACGTTCACTTGACTTTCTTCATATTGTGCTGCCAAATCTCTTTGTTCAAAATTTCAAATCCACTTAGTTAAACAGTGATACCATTGCTTTCATGATGCAGACTTTTGACTTTTCGTGAACAATTTCAGTGTCATGAAATTTTGTCCAAAATTTAAACACGTCAATGTCTGGAAATTGGGCAAGAAATGAGCTGAGTGTATTTTACCTGACATCCTTGAAAAAATCTCAGAAAATCCCACGAAAATCTCAGAAGTTCTTTAACATGTAAAAAACATATTTTGGGGTGCATTTAAAAGAGTTTATTTTACATTTTGGAACAAAAATTGGAAAATTCAGGCCCAACTAAAAGTTCATCGAAACTTTGTAGCGGATATATGAAATCGACATTTATCATGTTTATGAGTCAGAATATTTGGAGTTTGATGAAATTTCTTTTTTTTTTTAATTGGAGGTAAAATTGCTCCACAAACATTAGAAACAACAATTCGAAGTGCCCAATGTTAGGGTCCGTGCCACTTTCGGGTGCACAATCTTCAAGTATAAGCAGTGTGCAAACAACTGTTGCTATTTGACCTAAACTTTCTCGAGTCCTCGAAATTACCAATTTTGGTGGGCTGGATTGGTATCCTTGCTGGGTGGGCCATGCAGTATTTTTTTAACAGTCACCAAATGATCAGTGAAATAATAAGCAACATGGATTACACAACTGTAAAAGACAAAAATGAACAGATGCACCATACGATATGTGAGATGTGAAGTATACTTACGGTATATTTGCAAGTCTGTTCATTCTCTCTGGACTGGTTTCCTTCATTTCCAACACGTGAGTTAAGCCAGTGTAAACAGAACCAACAAAAACATGTGCCCATGCTCATAGTGCTGTATCGCTTGCACAGGTGGCTGGCCAGCAGGCCGTAGCAGAAGCCCAGGCTTGGCTGTGCTGAGGCACATGACAGATATTATTCTTCAAATATGTTGCCAAATAAGCCAACCAAGAGTACCGGTACAAGCGGTGGGGACATTTTCAGCATGAGAATCAACGTATAAACCACATCTTATGTTCCGAACATTACAATATATCCTCATCAGAGACAAAGAGATACAACAGATTCTGAAATGCCATCATTGCCACATGACTGACACATTCAGGGGACTTTGTCCTACACGCTCTAAACCATAGTAGCACAGTGAAACGTCTTATCTCCTTGGATGATGTTCATGAGCATACTGGTAGTTGGTACATGTAAGAATTTAATATTCTTCTTGATTATTGTACACATATCAGCATATTGACGTGTGTTGTTAGAATGAAAGCAGAAGTAGTTACAAATTCATGATCAAAACAACATGTCTTTCAAGTTGGCAATGTGGGTTTTATTTTTACTGAATTACATCATGTGTATTGCCGGAGAAAGCTTATTGCAAGTTACATTCCTTTGCAAATATTTTGTTGTAGCAAGTATAAAAGTAGTGATGAAAAGTCTTTACTTTGGATAATACATGTCCTTGGAAAAGGGGAATTATATCAAATCTTTTACTGCATCTTGGCTATCCATTATAGTTTCTTACACAGTTCGGACTTTTAGTTGCAACAATTCTTTTTTTTGAAGAAAGACAACCTTGGTCTTTGACCCATTTTCTCTAATTTCTTTAAGGAGGATCAAATTGCCCTAGATGACCCCTCACTTGGCGACAGTGAGTTGGTGGGTCTTGACCAGGAACTTGTTGACTCGATAGAAAACGAGCTGTTCTTGAGAAAAATACAGGCAAGGCTGAGAATGTGTGAATGCTGAAAGCTTGACAGACAAATTGCAAATGGCTGCATGTTTGCTGATCTTGAACTCCATCATTTTGTTCACCTGCAGCAGCAAATGTTTATTTTCAAAATAAATTGCAGTTTCACTTCCATGTAATTAGTTTGAGAAATGCATTGCATGGTTCCAAAGCACCTGCCCATTCAGTTAAAGTTGCCATTCAATTAGAAGACTCTCCACCCTAAGGGAACATCTCTACCATTAAGAGACTTCTCCAAACAGGGATATAGTACAAGAATCATCAGATATCTCCCTCCTAATACTCTTACAGTATGCACCTCCTCATGCAACAATTATCATTAGCCTTGGAAAATACTGTAGATGTGTTCTGCTTTCTTTTCTGGTGAGACCTTTGCTGTGCTGTAGTTCCTACATGTACCAAGTTCTTTTCCTTTGTTTTACAAGGCAGTTCTACTCTGTGCAAACTGTCTTTTAGATTGCTATAAGCGTAGATTGTCCAGTACTAAATGAAAATCAGACATAATGCTTACATGTACGTCGATAATGCTTTAGTAAAACTCAGCACAAATCTACAAAATATATCTTTTTTACATTGGCCCAAGTAATGTCAAATTCACAATGTTTTACAAAGCAGTAGTCAGTAGTTGCTCAAGATTCCTCACGCATCTGTTCAGTCCCGTTTTCTGCAGAAATTCTCCCATTCCTTTACTGCTACACCCTACTTAGTTTAACCCAGCCTTCAATTACAAAAGCCACCCAAAACATCCCTGCTTGTTGCAACTACCCTCTAGTCCTCCAATCATGCCAAACAGTGACATCTAAAACTTGCATATTCTTGCCAATGTTTGACATGTTGCCATTAAAATGTTACATGTGCAAGGTTGATGATGTGGAGTCTACAGGTTTGCAAAGTTTTCATTTTTAAGAAATGTTAATCCTTAAAATTTGCCCACAGATATTATGTACATGTACTAGTATAATGCCTGAGTTGCTAGATTGAAGCACTTTAATCCTTACAACTCTGCTGAAATTCAGTGCATGGTTTGGATGGGTTTCAATGGTTTAGGACTTTATAAACATTGTCCTATTGTGGGAATGGCTTGTGTTCTGTTTAGGATTGTTGCATCTGAGAAGTTGATGTTTATTTCAGACAGAGAAGGCAACGGCAGCTGTTTCTTTTTTGTTCTAATTTTATTTTTTGTTCAAAAAACGAATTGTGTACATGTATATACATGTAGTTCTCCAGAATTTGTTAAAGCTTTTTTTTTTTTTTCACTGGAGGTTTTTATTTGTTTGCTCTAAATTCTGGTCATTAATCCATTTTTTAAAAACATGTATACGTGTACATACACTAACTGTAAATGATTCCAACGACTGACGTTTTGAACTGGATTGTGGAAGCAAAATCAAAGCAGTGTTTTCCAAACACTGAGGAGGGGCACCAGTGTGTCTTTTTCTGACAATCCTTGAATGATACATATACATTGAATATGTAGTTTCCATTGCTTGCAGTTAAAACATTGAAGACATCTGAAGCATGAGAAAGATCATTCCTTCATTTGTTCATGCTTGATACGCATCTCCTACTTTTGTTGTTTACTGGATAAAACTTTGAATGTAAAAGTTTGCTGGGTAGAATTTTTTAATGCAAAAGAAAACTTTAAATCTTGTTAAACAGTGTGATTTCTTAGTTCATTCTTTTGCTAATTAAATTTCAAAAGAGGAGGGAAAAGGTGCTAAATTCTCAAGCACTGGTGATAAGATGACAACTCCAATAAAACTCAACTTCCAAATATGGATAAAGTAAAAATTAAATTAGACTTTGTGCCTATAATTTTGCTTTAATTTACATTGTTTTCAGTGCAATTATTTGGCAGAACTTTTTTTTTACTGACCTGCGACTGAATTTAATCTCCATGATTCTGTACCGAAATTGTTATTGAATTCAGGCCAGAAAAGTACTTTTTACAAAATAGTCTTTGTTCTTGACTTTATAGTCTCAACAGGCAAAAGCAAGTCGTAGGAGATGGGATAGTTACTCCGATGATGAGAGTGAAACCTCTAGTGTGTGCTCAGTGGGATCGTTTGGTTCAGGCAGGGAACGTGCTTTTGAGGTAAGAGGGATCTATTAAAACTATTCCTTCTATCAGTGAATATATGGAGGTTTCCTTGTTGGTAAACACATGTGTCAGCTTTGTCCTCAGAGGAACTACTCTGTGTATTACAGGTTGTTGCAGCAATGATTTTAATGTGAAGAGTCACAGAGATGACTTTGTGTTAATTCACCCTAATCCCCTAGGGACCATTGAAATTATGCAGAATCTTATTGGAGTTAGCATGGTTAGGGTTAAAACTAAAGGAACTCTTCAGTCAGATCTATTATTAAAAACGCTAACTGCCCAGTATCTATCAAACTCCAATAGCAGGTTTTGCTAGGTTTGGTGCCATACCCGATCAACTTCTTGTTGAATTTTGTTGGACCTGGTATCAAAGGCCCAGGTGTGAGTTGGGACACAGGGGTCATTGTTTGCGGTGTCTGGCTTGCTGTACCAAGTGTTGGACTGTGCTTGATTTTGTCAGGTTTGGCGCTGTTCAGTGCAAGTCATCCTATACTGCATAGACCCATCCGTACCATATCACTCCTACTCCAATGGGCTCATTCTGTTAGAGTTTATCTGGTTTGGTACAGTGACCTGCATGTACAAGTACATAGACAAGTACATTTACCAATTGAAGTTTGTTGGGTTTAGTATGTTCCCTGGTGCAAAAGCCTAGGCAGTTAGGGTTAATGTCAGAAGTCACTGTCTGGATGATCTCATCCACTTTAAATAACCAGATGTTTCATGTTACTTGATCCTTTATTTGTCATATTTGCTTTCTTGAAGGACATTTCGGAGATTCTCAACAAAATGGCTAGTCCAGGCTGGTCAGAGAGGAAGGAGGGACTGATAGGCATGCAGAATATTCTCCAGAGCTCTAGGCCTCTTAGGTTAGTATGCTTCACATGACATACATGTAGATCTGTATTTTGAGGATCATCAAGCACATGAATTATTTGGACTTGTTTAGGATATCATGGATTACCCTGTCTCATACATATTCATGATCTAGAGCTGCATTGTCACTGGTTCATTCATTATCACATGTCAGTTGTTATTTTTGCAGTTAAGTACGAAGCAAGCATGCGAGGATCTGTACCCAAGTTAAACATGTCTTATATTGAACTACTGCCTGGGCACAGTTTGTGAAACTGTTACATGAGGGAAGTAGGCCTACCATACACGCATGCCAACTGCACCCTAGCTATGCTACCGGTACATGCACACTACAACATGTCCATGTGTTACAACTGAATATGTACATGTATGAAGTATGGTAAAACAAATATAACATGATATATTTCAGGTGGATAGTTGTTTGTCAACTTTCAGTACGTCAGGGATCTCAATCAACTGTCCATCCTCAAACTATGTGATTGAATTGCTTCAGTAATTTACACATCCATGTACTGTATACTGTGTGGTAGGAATTGGATATGGGTCAGACAGTAGAGAGTCAGACTGTGCCGAATAACCAAATATTTGATCAGTTGTCAAATATTCAAATATTATTTTTCGAATTTGAATATTCAAATGCAAAATTCATGAAAAGTAGGGGAAAATTTTGTTTTGTTTTAAATGAGAAACATTACACTATGGAGGCTTGTTTCAAGCAGATTCAAATGAAGAGCTTCAGAAATATTAGAAGGATTTAAAAAGTCAATTATTCATTAAACAATTTTAAAGGAATAGAAATTTTCGACAGGGCTAAAAGTCTGTTCATCTCTTAAATCTTGCTAAATCGTGGCTGGAGATACTCCTAGATGTGATAAGCTATTATATTGATCACAAGGTACAAATATGTGTGTTATTGCAACTGATTTTGTATAAGGTTTGTTCATCAACAATCTGCCAGTTGGTATGACAGAATATTCGATCAAATTGAAGGTGAATTATTCGAATTGACTCAGGCCTATTAGCTAATCAGTTTGGTCAAATATTTTATTTCATCATGAAGCAAAGTGAAATTTTTCTTCAGAGTTTAGAGATAAAATGACAGTTATCACTTCATGAAGCATTTGAGAATGGAGAATAGTACATGTACATGTAGAAACCATCATAGATTTATACCTCCACCCTATGTGTTTCACCAAGTTGTTTCCTTCCCTGTAATATAATCAATGTCACACTGTAGAATATGTGCAATGTCACTAGCATCTTACATGTATCTACCATTCCTGTCATAGTAGTGAAGGATATTCTAATGTATTAGTGCTAACCAACAAGGCAAAGCAAGGAATAAGTCAAGGGTGAAGTGTGCGGTAGTTAACTTTGATAAAAATCTTTGACACATTTTAGAAAATTTTTTATACCATGTAAATTCTTTTTCCTCAGTCGGGCAGAGTTGAAGAGGGCCCAGGATATTTTCACACGAATGTTTGCTGATGCACACAGCAAGGTAGGTGTCAACAGCCACTTTCTAGTGTCTTACAACTTGTGCCAAGATTCATTCCATTTTCCCACTTCAGAAATACAGGTGTAGGGCTGTGCTTGCTTCTGCTGAAAAGGTACATGTACCATATTTCTGGTTGTTAGTGTGATTAAAGGGGACAATAGCAACAAAATCTTCGGAATCAGATTTTAGAACTAGATTACCAATACATTTTGCCTAATAACCTTTACTGACTTGTATCGGTTATTCTTTTGTGATTTCTGTAAGGTTATTACCTTCGATGTGTCCTACAATTGAAATTTCTAGTTGCTGTTAATTTTATTTCAGATATTTAGCCTTTTCCTGGAAACCCTCGTTGAGTTTGTCATTGTCCACAAGGCAGACCTGTCTGATTGGCTGTTTGTCTTGATGACACGACTCCTGATGAAGATGGGAGCTGACCTCTTGGGCTCGGTGTTGCACAAAGTTCAAAGGGCACTAGATGTTGTCAGGTAGGGCCATTTTGCTGTATCCAGAGTAGCACATATTAGGTACATTCAGTATTGAACTAGTTTGGAATTTGATCTTGCAAACTAAGAATTAAAGGTACTGTGTTGGATATCGCTATGTAACCTTTGTTAAGTAGTAGAGTGGTTGGTGTGTTTTTGTGTGATTGCCAGGACATGATTCTAGGAATAGTGTAAAGAAATTTATTTCTATCTTGAATGAAGAAAGGGAACCGATGACAGGATTTATGCCTGAGATCTCCAGAACAGTTTGAGGAATGTCTCAGTTTTTGATACTACTCCAGTGATTATGTTTGTTCAAATGAAACAGATCTTTGTCTGTTTCCTCTCATAGTTGATATGATCTTTCTTGTTCCTAACGTTGCAGAATGTTGTCTTATTTACACAGGGAAGCATTTCCTTATGACCAGCAATTCAAGATTCTTACCAGGTTTATTGTGGATCAGACACAGACACCAAATAACAAGGTGAGAATCCACAAGACAGGTTCCACACCGGAGATATTGTGGTTGTGAATGTTTTTTGACAAATTTCATGTAGATAGAGAAGAGAAAAGTTCAGTTTAAAATCAGCTCTATGTCATTGTTAGTTTTCTCTGGAAACCTTTAAAAGTCATCTTTGTGAGAATGAAGCTTCAACATTTTGTAGTAAAGTCGCCACGTTTTGAAGTACTACGTAGATTTCATTATGTTACATGTATTTAGGAGATATGTGGAAAAGAATGTTACAAGTTTGTCTTTGCATACTGTTAGTAGTCTAGCATCAGAGGGGTGGGCATTCAGAAATCATTCAACTTTTATGGAATATATTTTTGATTCTGTAGGTCAAAGTTGCCTTACTACGCTACATGGAGAGCCTGTCAGAGCTAATGGATCCATCACAGTTTACCAATTCTAGCGAAACTCGTCTGGCTGTTTCAAGAATCATCAGTTGGACAAAAGAAGCCAAGAGCCCTGATGTCAGAAAGGTACATGAACCATAAGAACACACTGGTGGAACCAGATAAAATAGTAGTATGTGGGATATAGTTGATATGATTAAGAGGCTTAATCTAAAATGTCTGATGTTACTTCTAAACCACTTTGAGTTTTGATGCAGTCTTTTGGTCCTGAGATGGAATACTGAACTAACTTGGAACACCTATCAGGCTAAATCTCAGGGGGTGTTGAAGAACCAATTACATTTTAGCTCTTTACAGGTACACTCGTATGCACATGAATAGTAAGCATTCTTAAATTTATATTTTCCTACTGCAATGCTTTGATTACCTTTCTGCAGGCATCTCAGTCTGTTCTGATTGCTCTGTTTGAGCTCAACACACCTGAATTCAGCGCAATGCTATCAGTGCTCCCCAAGACATTCCAGGTAAACCCAGTGTCACCCAGTTTCTACCCTGGGTGCCCACACATTTTGCACATGGTATGACTTAGATTGCCCAACACAACCTACCACCCATGGTTTGGAGTTTGCATTCTGGCTCAAGCGCATGTGAATGAAACTGTAGTAGTCTTAGAATGGAATGAATGAAGAATTTGGTTTGCAGTTTTTGTGTGTTTATGTTTTGGTTTCTTTTTTGACAGTTTTAGTTGATTATACAGTGTGTTGTTTGGTAATTGGTTTTAATTGCTTGCAAGTGAAACTGCCTGCTGCTGCCATCCATTTCTTAGCATTTTTGAAAATCATGTGTGATAAGAGAAAGCCATTCACCACAAAAACATAACAAACATGCAAAGTAGAATGTCATTAACAAAACGACATAAATAATGTTTCAATAAACAGTTTCCAGCATTAAGAAAATGTCTGTTATGGTATTCCTTCAAGATCTGAACCAGGGTTTACTTCGTATTAAACCCAAGTTGATCCTGTCATGAAAGCTGTCACAAATGTTTGGACGAAATCATGGTGATAACTTCTTGCAAATAACTCTTGAGTAAAATTTGTGTACATGTGCGAGCACCATATAACCATCCCTTCCACCAAGTAGTTACATGTACTTCTGGTAAGCAAAACTTTGATGGGTAAAATCATTTTGTTACTTTAACAGAATCTATGAATTTCACATTTCAGTTATTTCCAATCCTACAAAAATCTCAGTTTTCCAGTAGACCCCCAGAACTGGTTGAGTGGTCCTTCAAGAGTTAATGCTGTAGATGTTAAAAACTCAGGGTGTTTCTGCAACACTATCATTAGATTTCTGAGTCCACTACACTGATTCCATTTCGATTTAGATAGTCCTCACTCACACAGTTAACCACTTGGTACCGGGGCTTCCGGAACTGAACTCCTTGGGTTTATACACAAAGCTGGGCTGCCCAAAATCGGACAAAAGAGCTAGGCCTCTTAACAAAAGACCAAACTCGGAACAAAAGACCGTGCTGCTGGGAATTGCCAACATTTTTTCAGTTGTCAATAGAGGAGGATATCCGTCACTGTTTTGCAAGATTATACCACTGTTTGTGGCATTCAGCGCAAGTGTATTACCACAGGGGACAAAAGTGCTCCAGCACTCCAGGAATAAGTGATATAATACTGCTACATGCTAATCTGGTCTGCATTTGAAAAGACGCCAGCAGTGCACTGGGCCAGTTTTGGGAACAAAAGAAAATTACGTAACACCACACAATCTGGGCTTTCTTTACAACATGGCAGGCCTGGTTGAAATACTCGGGCGTCAATAGATGGGAAAAGCTCAGCTGCTGGTGTTATATTTCTAGTTGTGATTTCTTTCTTTTGTTTCGGAAAGTATAAATTTGTTCGCTATCATTTTGAGTGTGTAAAAGTAGTTTTACTGTACCATACATAATCACACACACATAATGAGAACAAAATCTCTTGTGTTTGTCTTTTGTTCATTTCTGTCCTCTGTATGTGCCTGTGTTTAGTGTGTGGTAGTGTGTTAGAGAAAATGAAAGATAACTTACTATGGTCTGGTATAACAGGACTGTGTGATCACTGCTTTGTTGGTTGCTGTGTTTGTGTTCTTGCACTTTCCACTGCACATTTTCTGATTATTTCTTTGCTTTGGGTGCAGTTAATCACAATGTCTTGAGCTCACTGTCTTATGTTTTCTTTTCTCAGTTTTAAGCAGGTTACCTTGTCACATTTTACAAAGAATAAAAATTTAAAATTTGTATGGTTAAAAGTATTCTGGATTTGAAAGTTAAACTTATAACTGTAGCCACATGTAGTCAATCATGACCATGCATCAAGTTGTAACACCACACGAACAGAACAAGTGTGTAAACACCTTCAGTCGTGGACTCCCTGTTGTTCCTCTTTTGTTCATACTCTAACTTTTTTGGAACACCTCACATATATATTTTGTACACGTTTTCCAACCGTGGACTCTTCGGCAATGGTGGACCCTATTTTCCCCTATTGTTATAGGTCCACGATTGAAGGCGTTTACATACTCATGTACACCCATCCTTACACAGCTGTACTTGTGGGGTACATGTGTTTCCTTTGTTCTTGCGTACAAAACTCCCACACAACACGCAAAAATTTCAAATCACTCCAATTTAAACCAAATTCACTTTCCTGGGTTGAAATTTTGACCGTTTGTCCCTTAAAACACTTCAATTTCCGATAGATGTTTACCCATCAAAAATTTCCCCTTTTTGAAATATTTCCAAATATCAGTTTCGTGAAACTGGCCTTGTGGGGTACTTCCCATTGTTCCGGTACCCCACAAGGCCCCATGTATAAGCGCACAGTGCACTGTGTATCCCCATAGATTGTCTATCGGCACATGCATGTGGTTTGACTATTGATGCCAGTTGATAGTTTATTTCTTTTACCCCTGGTGGATTCATGGCACCTGGTATAGGGAAAAGAAAGTGCATGTCCAACATCAATCCTCAATTGCATTATATACACAAGAATGTCAGGCCAGTAGGTCATTAAAATTATTACAGTGTTTCTGTATGTATCTGGTTTTTCTGCCTTGATTGATAAAGTGTCGTGTTACAAACATCACATTTGTTGTGTTTTGTGCTACATGTATGCATGCTGTGCATTTGTGATACACTGTTCCATGTGTTTTTAAGAACTTGACCTGTGACCACCATAGACCCGTGAATACACAATATTCAAGATACAACATACATGTACATGAAACAATCCAAAATACATGTATAATTTCTACAGAAACAATGTCAAGAAAGTTACATTTTAATGCTCTCTTCATGGGAACTGTTCATCTGTTGCTGAAATTCTTCAGTACTTTTCTGTCTCAGTATCAAATGGCTACCATTACCTCATGATATGAAGAGCAAACAATGTTAAAATTCCTTTCCTGCTTTGTACATGTACCTCTGACAGGCGTAGGACGTTCATGGGTTTTTTCGTTGGGGCAGCTGTAGTGGTGACATAAGTTATTTTCCTAATGGCTATCTTAGAGGGTTCTTGCTTGGTACAGTGCAATGTTTCAGGACCCATACTAATGTGCATAAATGGTAGCATGCCAAAAGCTTTGGCGTTTGTTGTCAAGAGTTGTTAACTTGATCATTGCGTGTGCTGGCAGAGACAGCAACTTGTTAACTTGATCATTGCGTGTGCTGGCACAGACAGCAACTTGTTAACTTGGTCATTGCGTGTGCTGGCACAGACAGCAACTTGTGTGAGTACTCACTTGTCAGCTACAGTTCATGAAGTTATTATACTTATAAACTAAATTGCTTTTTTACTTGTGTGGCATACATCTACGGTACATAAATGTGCTTATGTGTGGGAATAGACCTTTAACTGACATAGGTCTGAAACACTGCTTCAGGCTAGTAACAGTAACGTTTTTGTCAAAGCTGGCAAGGACATGATTAAGTTATTCATCTTTGGCTGTGCTTCATGGCTGCGTCCATCAGCCTGCCAAGTTTGGCTGCGAGAGGGCGCTGTTTTAACACAAAGCAGGAACCCTCAGTACAACACGTACGTCCCTGGTATATTCGCATGCCTTCATTTCGTCCCTTTCTCTCGACCCCTCCCCTATTTTTTAGGATGGTGCCACCCGGCTTTTACATAACCATCTTCGCAACGCTACAGTCAATGAAAATGAGGTAACCAAAAAGCAATGCAAGAACTGTGCATGGCGTGTGCAGTGTTGATGGTGGTGAAAGGGTTTCTGATTTGATAGGATGATTGATTACACGCATGAATAGCTACTTGTAGACCCTCAACTTCTAAACCTTGACTCCCTAGCCTCGTGTATTTATGCTCATGCTGAATTGCCAATGTACATGTACATTGTCCCCCTTCTTTCCAGTTGCATACTTGGTTTCCATTTAACATTTTTTTAACTCCCTGGCATTCCCTGTATATCCTTTTCCCCTTCATATTTTAACTTTTCCCCAGCAATTTTTACTACACATTGTTGTCTCACCGTTGAATCATTGTGAACATAACAAAATTTGCTTTCTCCATCAGCAATACCCTGAGAGGGGAACATTTTTTCCTTTTATCAGATTTTGTGATTTTCATTCATATTTCCCTGTTCAGCCATGTCTACATGTACCAGTACATATTTCTTATTTTCAGGTATATTTACTTACAAATATTTTTTCCCTTTATATTTTGATACGTTATCCTTTTCCCATTTTATTTGAGTTAAAAGTGCTTGTTGTCTAAATTGTATTATGTAAGTATGTGAAAATTGCTCAAATGGCTAACAGGAATTATGTTCACATTACGCCAAAATTTGAAATCTTGGACAGTTTGGATTTCTCAAACAGTAACTGTTGGATTTCATGCTGTTTCAAAAATTGTACCTGAATCAAATGCACCATAAATGCTAAAGTTAGTGCCCATGCATTTGATAACATTACTTGATCATAAAGCAGAACTGTCTGGAATTCTCTTGAGTTGATCCCTCTAAATTTTGTCATGTTTTCACATTCTAAATATTTTTCAAATTTCCCCTACACATTCTCACTGTGATAAGTTGTATCTGCTTCTACATGTACATTGTTTCCTGCATTGAAATTTCTCCTTCAAAAAGCATTCTGTTGTACATGTAACTTGCTTGCTGTACATTGCTGGTACATATACTTGCTTGCAAGTAGAGATTTTAGCACTGTTTTAATTGCTGCTTATTTTGGAAGCAATTTACCCAGATATACCTTGCTACTGCTGTTTATGAAGTACAGTGTAGCGCTTTTAAGAAAACAAATAGAATTAGAAAAAGTGGAAGAAAATAAGCCTTTAGAGTACACGCCTTGATATGTTACATGTTTAGGCTCAGTTTTAAAATTAGTGCATTAGTCTGGGTAGTATTGAAGTGTTGTTGGTATTATTGCTGTTTTGTAATAGTTGATGTTATGGGAATGTGAATAAATATTCCTTGGTGATTTTGGTCCAGTAACAGTTCATTTGTTATTCTTTGAAAATTGTGATTGAGCCAATTTCACAGAGTTCTCGAGTTATAGAATCCAAACCACCATGTGACATGCATAACAAGTGACTGGTGTTTAAGAGAATATTACAAAAGATGGTATTGCCTAAGTAATTTACAGTATTTTGGCATTTGTTACTTGTTAACATCATGACTTCATGCATGATCTATTCATCACATTGGCAAGCATGAATTGGATGGTTTCTGTCAAGTACACATACATGTAACCTTAGAACAGAGCCATTGATCTGCTGGAAGATTGCCAGTACATATTAACAGCTTGGCTAGCTCAGTAGGTACAGTATATGTATGTGTGAAACACTACCGGTAACTTTGGCAGTCAAATCCAGTTGAAGTCAAGTTTTTGTTTGTTTTATTTTTTTGTTTTCTGAACCAGATTTCTGCTTTGTGAAATTGGCTCTTGTACGTTGGTTGATAAAACAGATGGCTGTTGTAGAAGGATTTTGTACATGTATTTGTATAGTCTTCTCATCTCTAATTTCTTCAGCAGCATGGAATATGTACATGTATACAGTGGGCAAGTAACTCATCCAATCAATCACAAGTGGTTATTTTGTGCACATTTACTAACACATTGAAATTTGCTGTTGTTTGAATGTTTGCTTGGTTGAGTTGAGTGCCAATTCACAGCAGTAACATTCATATTGGCCAGTTGTAGTGTAGCAGTGCACCAAGTATTTATAATGTTTCATACACCCAAACACATCACAAGCTCCAATCCCTACTAAAAATTTTTCAGTCAGTTCTTCAGCAGTGTTGTCAAAAGATTAAGTGATTTTTAATTGCTCTTGATCTTGTTACCTTAAACAGAGTCTATCATTTGAGACATTTCTTTCTTAACACACAGAGCATAGCAGTTGACTTACAGCGGAAGGCATCACCACGCTCACCTTACAAAGCCTCCCCTCGATCTACTGACTCCTCACCCCGTGGCAGCTATGCCAGTAATGGACCACCTGAGATAGATGCTGAGAACATGAACTCTGAGGACATCTATGACTCATTGCGTCGTACCACAGCTGCCATCCAAAACTTCACCTATAGCAGCAGAGATGACTTGGATGCATTCTTGAAGGAAGGCCATCGTGTTGACAGTGACGAGGTATCTGCAGATAGTGGCATCACAAGTTCCATGACTGATGTTAGGGTGGACAGTCCTCCAGGCAAGGTGAAGGCATATCAAGACTATTTGCCGATGTCCAATGACACTGCTTATGCGCGCCAACAGCAGCAGCAGCAGCAACTTAGCCTTGCCAACATCCCTGCTTCATTCTCTTCCTCTTCTGTTCCACACAACTCCTACTATCCCATCATCCATCGGGACAATGTTAGTAGTTGCTTTCTTTTGTTTAATTTTGTTAAATGTTTGCTTTGTTTGTAGAACTTGCTTTATTTGTTTTGTCAAGTTGATGGTTTCTGTTTTGTAAATAGTCACACTAAGTTTATTTTGTTCATCCTTTTACCAGATGGATCAGTGTCAAATGCTACTACATGTGTTTGTGTTTTTTATTAATTATTACTAACTCAACTAATACAATCTTGATTGCTAACCTATTTCCCTTATCAGGTTTTGGTCTATTTGCTTGTGTTAAAGGTAGTGTACACCACTGGTAAAATCCTCCAAATTGGACTTTGTATAATCCTGAAATCTCGTACTTGAATGAAAGTACATACATGTAAGATCCTCAATCCGTCTGTAAAATATTTCTGCCCAGAATGCGTTATTTTTTGAGAAAACATATTTTGTTTTCATGTTTTTATGAAGGTTGACTGACCATCGTATAAGAGTTCACTTCGCACATCACAGTCTTTAACAGGCACCAATTTTCTTGTGCGTAGTGTTTGCAGATACTGTGGGAGGCTCCATTAATGAACACATAAGCCTAAAAGCAGCTAAAACATACTGACAGAAATTAATTATAGGAAATTGAGTGTAAGGTGTAAAGTACATGTAGGAAACAAATTGGATCAGTGTGAAGTTAAACTTTTTTTAAGAGAAGGATTTTCTTAATGCAAAACTTTGTGAAGTCAAACTCACCCCTAGAGCACAATGGTGTGGTCCAAATATGGTGGCTGTTTGCAAGCTGCCTAGTGAAAGGATTTTTGTCAATTATAAGTGTGATTTTCACACCTTAAACCTCCCGTGTTTCAAAACATAATTTCCTCTTTGCCTATAATTAATTAGTAAGTCAACTAAGAATGGAGTTTTTAGACTTTCATTGACGTGTAAACTGACATGAAAGTGTGGTCATTAAGCACAATTGTGTGTGCGAGTGCATTATCATAGACTTGTTTCAGTGTCTCAGACACAAGTTGACTGCCTTCCTGGATGAAATTTTTTCATGAGTCCGCAGTGCTACATTGTTGAGGAAGTACATTACTCCAAGGTAAATTCACTGACTACTCCTAGTTGTTGAAAACTGCTTGTTTTTAAGGGAGAGAGAACCTATCAATGCCTGTTTCCCACCCTGACCCCACGAATGTTTGTTCGCTTACTATGAATGCCCTCCAATTCCTAGATTTTACACAAGATAAATGACAAGATATTCAATTTAGTTGTTGAAAATGCCACACTGTTTTTCTCATTTTTTCACAAAGCAGTTGACTCAAACATAAATGTAATTTGCAGTGAATATTACACACCGTAATCAGCCAATCTTTTGAAATTACGACAAAAAACCAATGGTGTACACTGCTTTTAAAGCAAAGCAGGAAACTATTACATTTGTTTATATTCAGAAAAACAGCTGTCATACAAAAATGACCATGATTCTGGTATACTACATTGGTATCCTTTCTTATCACTTGACTACAGATATTTGAAAAATATTCAGAATGTCTGCAGTTTTTACAGATGTGCATTTGCCTTTCCTGGTAGAAACTTGATCATTGGAGCCAAGAACCAAAGCACCATTAGAAGTAGCTTTACCTCATGTCTTTATTTTAACCCATTCATGCCGGGATTCTTTTGAGCACAACTGCTGGGCTGCGGTATGCCCAGTATGCAAAGCCCGTCCAGCAGCCAGCCCACATTTTACTCCTTCTCGACAGGAATTTCTTCCGAAAGCCGACTCCAAGAATTCCAGCCTCGTTTGGCCACGAAGGCCACCTGCCAAACCGCAAATTCTCGGTTTGTGGCCCAGTGTGCTCTGTACGCTTTGAATCATACGGTGAAAAGGCTGATTGTTCGGTGGCATGCGGCTGTACTCAAGCTTCCACATTCCTCTTTTCAAAGTGGGGACTATTGTGAAGCTGGTTATTATGATGCAAATTTGGTCTTTTCATTTCTGGGCTACACACAAAGACCAATTACCATATACAAAAGAGCCAGGGTCTGCCTTCTTTCACCGTGTTCGCTCGAGCCTGGGCCGAGAATAATAGCTGAAAAGCGGGCTGAGGAGCTCAATTTTTACGGTGTGTCTTAACGTGTCCTGCCGTGAAGGGATTAAACCGCAGGTGCATTATGAATAGAGTGTACGTGTGCTATGCACTAATACTCACACAAAGCGGTGGCCATTGACGTCTCCTGGAGCGAAGGGGTTAATGATCTTCCTAAAATAAATAATGGATTCATTTTCTTCAGATTCTAAAATAAGCTACAGATATCACAATGGTGATCCATCTCTTCTGATCAGGCTATTTTTTCTCACCGTCACCTAATCTCTTCAATTTAACCTCATAATATCTAATATGCCTCCATCAAAATTGTTCAGTTCTTACCACAACATTTGAAGTGTCCTAGATCATGGGGAATCTGTGAAGCTATCTCAGCTGTTATGCAGATTTGATGTTGGATGTCACACTAGCTGCATCCAAGGAATTGTTTGTTTTACTATCTCAGTTTTCATGAACTTCAAAATATTTTGAAGCATGCTGTCCTCCACTGTTGCATGTATCACCACACATTATTCCTGAACCTTCCCAAACAAATGTGCTTCAATATATGCATATGTTTCATATTGCTGGACATCAGTAAATGAATTGTAGATGTAGAATGGCTCATTTAGTACCTGCCTTGCCACAGAGGTTGTCCGCTCTAACAACTGCTTAGAATAGCATTAGAAGTACACTGTAGTTCCTAGACATTGTGTAGATTAGACTGACTGTTCCAACCCAGACTGAAGCACAGGTTTTTTAGGGTTCTTGCTAAAACATGTAACAACTCATCCATTTTCCATTGATATATATTCTTCTTACTTATTCAATAAAATTCTGGGGTGTATATCTTCTCTTCCAAATGGGGATGACAAGGTGTAGCTTGTAGGTTTCTGAGACTTACATGTACGTCACCTGATTTTATCTTATTCATTGGTAAGACACTTCCCACTAGTTTCCTTTTATTTTGCAAGTAAGAAACGGCATCATGCCAACTTTACTTTCGACTCTAATAAAATGACTACATGTACTTCTACCTACTTCTCACAAAACGTCAAGCTGAAAAGTAGCCTAAAACTGTCAGCATCATTGTTTTTCAAGTCAATTGAAGAGTTTATACATGTAAGTTCTATACCCCTTCAATACACAACCTCTACTGAATTGGGGATATATTTCATTATGTTCTGATTCATCTTCATCCATTCAAATGACTAACAATTCTTGACATCACTTGTTTAAAAACTAAATTTCTATGAAGTAAAGATTAAAGATTACTAGATGACTTAGCTTCAAGTCAAATTAATTAAATTGTGAATGTTTCTGTCTAAAACATTTCTTGCTTATGAATAGATTCAGTGGTTTTTATAAAATTAAAAATATGACCTTGTTATATACATGTGGAAAATTTAACAAATGAGATTTATTTTAAATAAATTCTTACAAGCAGGGAATATCAGATACCAGACTGACAGTTACTGATGGTCCGTATGATGATGATCTATTGAGTGAAGGTAAGAAGCTAGACTGGTGATTTTCTAGGATTTTTAATATGGTCAAATATATTAGGTTCACTCTGTCAATTTGATTTTTACTTTTTCATGGTTTGTACCATACATTTTGTAATATGGCGTTAAAAGTACTAGTAGGAGAGGTTACTTTGAGCAACTCAACCAGTAAGCTTGTAATTTGCTGAAATTTCTGAAATTTAGCAGTAGATGTGATATACATGTATTTGCATTAAAACCTAATCAGTAAACCTACATCATCATTCCAGTCCCTTGGTAATGTTATCAATTTTCTTCCCCATTTTGACCATTTTGATGGTTGCCTTTTTAATTTTGTAGGTGATCATGTAGACATCCTAGTGCCTCTTCTTACTGAGCTTTCAAACCACAATCAAAGGTACGTTGAAAAAAGAAGTGTTGCTTCCTGAGTAGAAATTGTATAACTAGGCAAGCAAAAGAAAAGGGGGAAGTTACAAGGCTGGAAAGCTTACTGAGAAAAAAAAGAAAACTAGTCTCTCCCAATTCTAATAATTTCCTTTGAATTGTCTGTAGAATATGATTACACATTCCACTGTGCGTACCATGTTCCTGAGCAATATTCTTGCACTCATTGTTCCTATCCAGAAACAAAGGGATACTTGCATTAGTACATGAACCTCCTCTATGGAAAGACACAGTTTTAGTGTTAAGTTCCTTCTTTATGTTAAGATTATTTTCCTATTTCTGTACCTGGTAGGTTTGAAGAAAGACGAACTGCTATGATGCAGCTGATTAAGCTGACAAGATCTGAGAGTGTGACCATGTGGGATAATCACTTCAAGACAGTCCTGCTTCTTATGCTGGAAACTCTTGGAGATGTGGAGGTTGGGTGCATGGCATTGATTGATGTCACCAAAATGTGTCATTGGATGGATGTTGTTGATAGCTATTATGGATTGATGTTGGTGATGGCTGTCATTTATTAATGCCATATGATGGCAGTCATTGATGAATGTCACTGATAGCTGTCATTGATTTACGTCACTGATGAATTTGATTTATTAACCACTTCGTGCCGGGGCATTTTTCAACTATCATTTTTTCCGTTTTCAAAATCCTTCAACAATTCATCATTCCATTTTAACGGTAGTTTATAGCCGCATGAAGTAATCTTTAGGCACTACTCTAAGTTGACAGGTGACCTTCATTGATGCCTGAATATTTCAACCAGGCCTGCAGCCTTGTAAACAGAGCCCAGAGTGTGCGGTGTTATACAACTGTCTTTTCGGAGTCCCCGGCAGGTAGTGGTTAAAGTCACTGGCGGCTGTGTTTCGATGACAGACTTTTATCAGGGTTCCTGTGGCCTGGAAAAGGCATGAAAATTTCATGGAAATTTTTTTTTTCCAGGCCTGGAAAAGTCATGGAATTTTGTGCAAATGACTAAGTCATGGAAAAGTCAAGGAATTTTTCAAACACTGTGTATGATTTCTATTATCAGAAATGAGTGCATAAATTGTGTGATTTTATTCGCAACTTTAAAGTCCAAAAGTCCAAGAAATTCCATTATTGGGTCCTGGATTTTCATAATTTGGTCATGGAAAAGCCATGGAATTTAATTGTCCCTTAGGTGCAGGAACCCTGTTAATTGTTAGGTAAAAGCTTAGTCATGTTAGTTAGGGTTTCTATATGTGCTGTAATTCTTGTCCTCTTAAATTTATTTTGCAGGCTTCCATTCGAGCAATGGCCCTTCGTGTCTTGAGGGAAATCTTGCGCAACCAACCAGACAGATTCAAAGATTATGCAGAGCTGACTATTCTTAAGATACTGGAGGCTCACAAAGATCCACAGTCTGAGGTAGGACAAGTATCTGGCTTCTGGGGAAGAAAGGTGTCATGGTAATAAGCCATTCCTACAATATTAAACAAAACAAACAAAAAACAAGAAAGGTGCCACTTTTTATTTTCCAGAACATTGAGATAAGCAACCACTTTTGTTAAAGCTGGAGACATTCTTGATGGCAGAATTCTTCACATTGTGTTCATTTCTTAGGTTGTTCGTGCTGCTGAGGAAACATCAGCTACTTTGGCTCATTCCATAGCTCCTGATCAGTGTGTACGAGTTCTGTGTCCTATCATACAAACGGCAGACTATCCTATCAATCAGGCTGCCATCAAGATGTTGACCAAGGTAAGCTTACTACAACATCGGAGTGAAATCCAAAGCTGCATGTCTTATCACATAATACAGTGTATCAATAATTTGATCAGTATCGTGACATGGTTGTAATGTTGCATTTTTCTTGTTTCTCAATTCACAGGTAATAGAATTGATGCCTGAGCTGGAACTGGAAGAAATTGTCGCAGAAATTGTCCCAGTATTACTAAAGGTTTGTCAGTTTACTCATACGTTTTGAATGTGCACTTCTCAGGATTTTATTTTCTTTCACCTGCAAGATTTTTGAAGCATCAATTTCCAGTGTAACTTACAAATTTGTATTAATGATTGACCTTTGTTCTCATTTTCCTGTAGTCTTATGATCATCCTGAGAGTAGTGTCCGGAAGGCTAGTGTCTTCTGTTTGGTGGCTATTCATAGTGTCATAGGTGACAGACTGAAAGAGCATCTTGGAAGCTTGTCAGGAAGCAAGGTAGGGAAGCAGTTAATAGCATCCACAGAATATGGACAAATCTGATTTCATGCTGAACATCCATCGTAGGATTGACTTGCGCATTGACAATGACACTCAATCTCATTATATTGAATAGAAAGGGGCGGTTGAAAACTGAAGGATTTGGTATCCAGCTCTGCCGATATATGCATTTCTGTATTTGTAATCAATTAGAAACTGGGCTTTTAATGATAATTATCTTGTTGAATCCTTGAATTTGAAAATTTCAACATTCATAAGTGCTTTGAAATCATGAAATATTCCAGCTTTGGTGTGTTAGCCTTAGTCTTTGCAACATTACTGTTGCAAGCAAGTACTATTTCTCAAAGTACAATCTTAGTTTGGTAATTATATGTAAAGGCTTGTCTTTTTTCTGGTTCAGACAAAACTTTTGAATCTGTACATCAAGAGAGCACAATCAGAGAAGCAGACCAATGTGCCATCACCTAGCTCACCTTCAGCTTTGTCAAGTGGAAGCAGATAGCTGTCCCAAGCAACAACAGACCACTGTGCCCTCACCTAGCTCAACCTCCGCTCTGTCAAGTGGAAGCAGGTCGCTGTCCCAAGCAACAGACCACTGTGCCATCATCTAGCACACCCCAGCTCCGTCAAGTGGAAGCAGGTGGCTGTCTCAAGCAGTAACAGACCACTGTGCCATCATCTAGCACACCCTCAGCACTGTCACATAGAAGCTGATCACCGTCCCAAGCAACAACAGACCACTGTGCCATCACCCACATGTATATGTAGCTCAACCTCAGCATTGTCAAGTGGAAGCAGGTTGCTGTCCTAACCAAAAACAGACCACTGTGCCATCATCTAGCTCACCTTCAGCTCTGTCAAGTGGAAAGCAGGTTGCTTTCCCAAGCAGCAACAGACCAATGTGCCCTCACCTAGCTTAACCTCAGCACTGTCAAGTGGAAGCAGATCCCTAACCCAAGCAACAACAGACCACTGTGCCATCAACTAGGTGACCTTCAGCTCCGTCAAGTGGAAGCAGGTGGCTGTCTCAAGCAGCAACAGACCACTGTGCCATCATCTAGCTCACCTTCAGCTCTGTCAAGTGGAAGCAGGTGGCTGTCCCAAACAACAACAGACCGCTGTGCCATCATCTAGCACACCCTCAGCACCGTCATATAGAAGCTGATCACCGTCCCAAGTAACAGACCACTGTGCCATCATCTAGCACACCCTCAGCAACCGTCACATAGAAGCTTATCACCGTCCCAAGCAACAACAGACCACTGTGCCATCACCTACATGTACATGTAGCTCAACCCCAGCACTGTCAAGTGCAAACCGATCGCCGTCCCAAGCAAAACAGACCACTGTGCCATCATCTAGCACACCCTCAGCTCTGTCAAGTGGAAAGAGGTCACTGTCCCAAGCAAAACAGACCACTGTGCCATCATCTAGCTCAGACCAATGTACCATCATCTTGCATCAGAGTTTTGGGTGTTTTCTGATTACAGTAGAATAACACACTTGAAAACCAAAAATTTATGTAATTCAATTAAACTATTAGTGCTTGATAGCTTTGTTAGAATTGTTAGATTGAGTGCAAATGACATTCTTCATCTATTGGAGAAATCTGTATCTAACGAAGTTAAAGCATTTGAACCAAAACAGCCTATTTGAGTTTGGTCCATATTCCTGCCTGGCATGGTGGAAGGTGAATCCGATGCTTTGATGGAAATGATACTTCAGCTGTCTGTATCTGCAGAGCCCAATGTGATAGAACTCACTTAAATATCGATGTAATGTCATGTACTCTACCTGTACCAAAGTACATAGGTATATCATAGCAATTTGTAAAAATGTGCAACTACATAAACTTCTTGAAATGCATAGTATTAATCAGTGATCACATTGTAAAGATTTCTGTTGTGAACATTTTTCACTGATTGCCTCATTTTGTTACAACAGTCATATTGAAATACCCTTCAGTGTTGAATTGTAACGAAGAAGTACTCACTGAAAGGTACTTCACAAGAGTAATGTAAATTGAAGTTATACATGTAAGTACAAATTAAACAAACTTGTAGGTTGTGAGATGTAAAAATGCAGCTTTTACAGGTTCACAACTTTGGAATTTGCCATCCTAGATTTTATCATTGGGCTTGCTGGTCAAAAGTGTGCAACTGTGCAGGGGTCATCTTTGGGATCACTGGCAAAAAATGTTTCTTGTGCATCATTGTAGTACATGTATTTACTTACATCAATTTGACATCTTGAAAAATGCCTGAATATATCACTTGCCAATCTGGTAAACTCATCACCCTCCCAGTTAGCACTGTGACATAAAATTGTGTTGTACCCTGTACATCTGTCACAACTTTAATGTATTAAAGTTTCAAATGATCACAATTTTACCAAAATGTAAAATATGGAAGATAATCATAAAAGAAATAGATACTTGAACCTTTGTGGCATTGCTTAAGATCTTGCACCAAATTTACCCATATTTGCCAGACATTTTGTTTTTAAATCTTAAATTCATGTGAAATTTTAAATTTAGTCACTTTTATTGCTGAATGTTTTTGGTTTATTTTTTCCCTGTGCTTCCATGCAGCTGTACAGTAAATTTTTTAATCCTTAGGAAAGTTGGATGCTATCGCCTAAGTTGCCAGACTCTGAGACAGCATTGAAAAACAAACAGAAAGTTCCTCGTATCCAGAAATTGGGAATCAGATTAGAAATGTGTCCTTGTATTCACAGAAAGAAACCATTTTCTTTGAGTTTCTAGTTCCTCCTTGGCCAAAAAAACATCAAAACTACTACATGTACATGTCTACTATAGTTGGCCAAATAAAAGTGGGTATGAATGGTTTGTGTGTCAGCATTGATTGTTCAAAAATTATAATCTAAGCTCAAATCAGAGTCCATTTTGGAAATTATTTTTTTTTCTGGTTTGTTTGTGTAATGCGCAAGTGACAACTTTTGCTGTAAGACAAGTCAAAGAGTGACTGTTAAACCACAAACTGTTTATTCTTGAGCACATCACAAACCACGGTTGGTCCAAGATCATGGTACTGAAGCAAACCTACCATGGAGATATTCTTCTTAGGTTAATTACACATTGTTTTGCACAGATGTCTAGGTGTGAGATGCCTCAATCTTAGATTGCATTGTTGACTTTAACAACTTTTCTTGTATTTGGTAAACAGGGTTTTAGTTCAGACATTTCAACAGTAAAAAATTTGCATGTCAGGTTCAGAGCATTATCATGTAGTCAGAAAATTCCAATTTGTTTTTAGAAGGGCTTGTAGGTGATTATAAACCAAACATGAATTTTATGCATTGAAGGAACTTGATTCTTACATCTTCCGAATCTAAAAATATGATTGTTTGACACTGGCCCCGACTGTTATTCCCATTTCCCTTTGCAGACTGATGGTCAGTGTAAAGGTTTTTGGGGAAGATCAGGATTTTGTTAGAAGTTTTTTCTTTAAAAGCAGTGACCTCTTGGGAGATTTTCCCAGTTGGTTAAGAAAGTTTATCAATTTATTAAATTTGTGAGGTTACATGGATTGTCACTGTTTAAAAACACTTCTTGCAGAAAATTCTTTCTTATTAAATGTTCTTTATCAGTTGAAATATAATATTTGTCAGACTTGCTTAAAACATCATGCCATCACTGCTTGATGGGCCACCGTCATGTGTAAGACTTTGTAGATGTACTTCCCAGCCATGTTTCATGACCGCATTATGCTTTGATGGACAGCTTGTGTCTGTAGAGAAAACTGGAATAACCATCTTCAAATACATCGCCCTTTACATTCATTACGTGTAGGGTATCAGTGCCATGCATGTTGGAGTTTAGTCCTTTTTTACATTCTGAACATGGTCTGTGATTGGACAAAGACTATACCTTTGTGATGTCATTGTTCATTGTATAGATAAACTGTGCATTGGTCCTGTAAGGTGTTAATTAACTGAAGAGATATTGTAAATATATGTATGTGACACTAGCTACTTAAATGGCAATTTGGGAAAGGTTTGTTTTGTCTTGCTGTTATATTGGACATGGAATATGACTTTGCAGGCAGATTGATGACTAGATTTGTTTTATTTCTGTACAAATTTGGTTCTGTTCAATGTTTTTTGTTCATAGCAAGCTTTTGCGGCCTTGGTTTCTTTTACATTCAAGGTGTTGATGGTTTCGTACATTAACTTTTTCCATGAGGCCTGATATTTGAGTTTTTTAATTGATTAGAAGTAGTAATTCAAACTTGCTATACAGAACCAATCAGCTACAGTTATTTGCTACAAGCTTATTTGATTGGCTGAGAACAATCATGTGTTGTTGCATTTGGCTCATGGGCTTGTTGTATAAGTCATGTAAATAGCAGCAAATACAATAAAGATTAGTGTCAGTTGAAATCGATACTCGTCCCTGCTTTTTTCTGTGGATTCCTGGGTTCGTTTGAACGTGGGCAATTTATTTCCCAAAATGATTGAAGTGAGAACAGAGATTTTCACGCTTATCTCAAACTCACTTTAGGACACTTTCAGAGAGAATGTATCACACCATTTACAACTATTCAACTTATTTTCTAAAAAAAGTTACATTTCAACGTGTTGCTCACTTTTCATCATGACCTCCAACTGACCAAGCATGCTCCATTAAAAGCAAACTGAATGCGGACACCTTTAAAATTACTTACTTCTAGAAGTGAAAGTACACATCGGGCAGATTTTCCAGTTTTATTTACACTCAAAAAAAGAACCCAACATTGCAGTGTCTCTTCAGGGGGGGGGGCTTTTGGGGTATTTATTTTTTTCTTGTTATACTTGGTGGCCCATTCAGTTCGTTTAATACAACTGATCTCCAATGGGTCCCAGGTATGTGTGGCAGTATTTGCTAAAGCAGAGGGAAAAATGATTAACTGTTAGAAGCTGAAAGTCCAATGAGTAAAGCCCACTGACTTGAAGTGGATTTCGACTGGAAATGTGCTGGCTTTTGTTAACTTCACAGTTTCTACTTGGCTCTTCAACTCAGGCGAAATAAATCAACAGATTAACATAATAAGTAATAAGCCATTAAGCTTAAATGCAATCAATGATTTAGGTCAGGTAAGTGACTCGAGATACAAAGCTGAGCTTGTGCCAAACTCATAAACTATGCAGCACAAAGGAATTTTCTTAAAGACATTAGTCTGAGATTTCCGAAGTGTCGCCCATGTCTGGGTTTTATGCACACCGGGCAACAACCAAACTAAAACAACTGTTTAAAAACTGATCCTGGAAAAGTTTTCCCAAACGTGCAAATCCTCCAATTGTAATATGAGTTTACACATATACATATACCGGCACATGTACCTTGGGAGTTAATGTTGTACGGTGTCCACATTACAGAAAAATTATAAGATTCTTTCACTTAAATTCATTATTAAAGAAATAGATGCAGATAAATTGTGAACAAAAAACTGAAAACAAAAGATTTTCTTTTAATATTCAGAAACTTAAGCTTTAAAAAGGCAAATCAAATAATTTCTCCTGGAAACTGTCAAAACAAGACACTATATATATATCCTTTCATTTTTCCAATAGCTTGCAAGCCGATTAAAGTCCATTTTCACTCTTGGCCACTACAGCCAAGAATGTCGGAACTTCGGAGACAGCCTCCAAATGTCAATTTTCATTAACAAAAAAAGGCTCATATTTTGAAGTCTCTATATAATAGGAGGGAATCCAGAAAATAAACAAATAGTGCCTTGATATCAGACTATAGTGAATAATAGTTACCAAGGAGCAATCTCTGTTATCTGACTTTTTAATTAAAAAAAATCTGACTTTTTCATCAGCAACAGGCAAAATATCAATTTTCTTCCATTCATTTTAGGTGCCATTTTAGATGTTACTGTAAAACCTCATGACAACAGCAATGCTTTTCCCTCTTGAATGGTGCACTAGCATTAGAATAGTAGGTGATTATCCAGCAAATGAGAATAATTCACAATTTCCAGGCATTTTTGTTGCATTCACCTGTGGCCTCTCACAATCAACTGCTACTTAAAATGTCGACCAAGATAAAAATTTCAACAATTTAAATCTCACTTTAATACAAAAATACACTATTTTTATGCTACAGTGAAATCTACATGTAAATAGATTTACAATCCCTACAGCACTGCAGCTACTCCTAATTGCTATTTTTGGAAAAAAAAATCGCAAAATGTAGAATGTCATGTACAAGCAAACCCAGTACAAAGAAATGTTTGGACTACAGGTTTTTGAATGTCTCACAATAACAAAAAAATGCAGATTAAAAAGAACAAATACAGAGGTACATGTATGAGTGAGTCTGGGTTATGATCATCCTCATTTACATGATCATTCACAATATACATCACAGATCAACTAATTCAAAGTCTCACTGTACTTTCTAGAATCTATATCACATGGATCAACTAATCATACACATATCACTGTGCATCCACAACCCATATTAAACATGAACTGATCATCATTCACATGCTATTCATCCACAATCTCCATGACTGCTCACACTGATCAACTCATATCTGAAATCTCACAGTTTCGTGCACAATCTATATCACTGCAATCACACTGATCAACTTGTCCACAATCTTACTTCCTAATCCATGATCTGTATCAGATGCTCCACTGATTACCCACAATTTCAGTGAACCTTTCATAGTCTACATGGCAATAACTCTATAGCACATATTAACAGCAACAATCTGTGACTTAATCTTTGACTGATCAGTCACAATATAAACCATGACCAACAAATTATACATTTCACGTACCAGTTCTGACAAACGAACTGTTCATCAATTATTGCATTTACCTACCATGACCGTGTCCATTCTCTATCATGTCAGTAAGATGTGTGAAGGTTTCCAAGACGGAGAATCCAATGTTAGTGAGCTTGGGAGGCAATATCTCTTGTGAGTTGTTGAGGTTCAGAAACGACTCAACTGCAAGAAAGTGGTAGACTTAATAGTTTCGGTAATTTGCTCTGCGCATTGTCAGGAAGCTGAACAGACTCCAGACAGAATATTCTGCCAAAAGCATGTAGTCCACTGCTTCTTCTTAGAATACTGTTAACTCACAAAAAAAATCCTTCCCACATGCTGTTACCAAAAGCTCATCAATTCTGTCTTCATTACTTCCACCGAATTCCAGTAGAACAAAATCTAACACACTTGGGTTCCAAGGTAGATTCACTGGCAGAATGTGTTCACATTTCAACTGTAAATGATCTTTGTAAATATGTGGTCATGAGGCACAAACAGGTGTATACCTTTTAACCATTGTAACCTGTCTATTATCCAAATCTTACGCCATGATGATTGTGTATGTCTCTCCTTGCACGTGATTCTCAAGTCCAGACCTAGTCTCATCTGCAAAAAACCAAGGCACAGGTTCAGCATTATTATCTTTATTGTTTTTTCTTTCCATTCACCTGAATAGGCACTGTTCATGTGAATAGATACTTTCACCATCATTCTGTGTATAAGTACCTTTATCTTTGTGCTATTTACTAAGTGCAAACTATTTTATCTTCACTGGACTACAGACTCTCATCTTCCTGCCATTAACCTAAACAGGAGCTATTATCATCATGCTATTCAAGTGAATAGCCACAACCATCGTTTTATTCAGTGAATGAATACTATTCTGCCATCCTCTTTATTATTGCTAAAGGAAGAGATTCTATTTATGTAATACAATGGTAGTTGTCAGTAACTACATGAAAAGGCCATAAATCTTCAACATTCAAACCACAAGCTCACCTTTGATTGCTTGAAGTGAAAATAAACTCTCTTCTTGAAAGTTTTCCACCATCTTGGGAAGCAACACAGAGAAAGGCCAATTAGCATCAAGACATACATGTATCCTTGCCTCTTATTTTCAATAACCTCTTCTTGTCTTACAATGTGTGATGTGTAATAGTGGACCATACATGTATGACCTAGTGGGTTGGGTTCGTAGCTTCTGATCATAGTGTTGGGGGTTTGAATCCAGCTGCTGGCAGCATGTTGCAATCTTGGGTAGGTAAATTTACTCCTACGTGCCTCTCTCAACCCAGGAATAAATGGGTACCTGTGAGGGTAGATATGGGTTTGTTTGGCCGTTTACGTCTGATACGGCAGCATCAGGCTAGCATACTCCCTAGGGAGCTGAGATGGTTTGAGAAATGTTCAGATGGCGAGTCCAATGTGCAGGGATAACGATTATAGCATCATGTGCTTTATAAGAACTCTTTGGTCGAGTTCGGGTGGCCTGTTCTTGACACAGGTATCTTGTTATCGCGCTCGAACGGCGGGAACACGACTCAAGAACACTGTTCTCGGAAAAGGATCACACACCACCTCCTCGTCAGGGTTTTACATGAACACACGGAAAAACTCATGAGACTTTGATTTCTGAACAGCTGCAAAAAGTAGAGAGATGGCTTCCAAAGCCATAGACCATGTACACAATTGGAAGTTTTGAAAATTAACATAAATTATTTTCTGTTACACAGAAATGAATTTTCCTGTTTATATAGAAAAGAATTCAGCCCATCCAAATCTTAACTCTCAAATAACATACATGGAAGCCGCCATGTTGCATGTTGCTTGTGATAACTGGTTGTTTGTTCCCGGCGTTCGAGCGGCCAACCCACAAACAACTAATTGAGCTGTTCATAAACATACGTGAACAAGCTGCCCGAACTCGGCCAATATTATTACTATTATCTTGCTAACAGTAACCATAACCGCATAATATTGCTAATATCAGCAGTTTGCTCATTCATGCTTCACACTAACACCCTCCCCATGTCTGTGTGCAAAAGAATGTAGAATAAACACTGTATCATGTAATCAGCTTACTTCATCACTGACAAGAACACGGATACCAGTAGGACCTTGCCGGAGTATTGTTGATATATGCTCAGTAGGAATGTGATATAATGCAGCAAGTTTAGCTCTTAGCTCCTCTAGTGTCTGTAACTCCAGATACACAGCATGGTATACTATAATAAAAAGGAAAAAGGAAAGGTTCAAATCATACACCAATTTATTACCCTTGTTTACAAAAAATGGTTCATGATTTATTCCAAAAAAGAACAGTGCTCATACCTTGTTCATGCTCTTGGCATACATACAATGTCAGTCGTGGTCTTACATGTCTGAAAAATAAAAGCAAAATCTGTTTTATTAAACAAGCAGGATGACCTCTTTAAGGTGGTCGTGTGCAACCATGTCACCTGTGCAACCACATCATCTGTGTAACCACGTCATCTGCGCAACCATGTCATCTGTGCAACCATGTCATCTGTGCAACTATATCATCTGTGTAACCACGTCATCTGTGTAACCACATCATTTGTGCAACCACATCATCTGTGCAACCATGTCATCTGTGCAACTATATCATCTGTGCAACTACGTGTATGTCATTTGTGCAACCAGGTCATCACAATGTCATCTGCTGGCCCCATTCATTATCTACATCAGATAACTTTCTCAACATCAGTGGGAGTTCCTGAATTATTCTATCAACACTAACCTTTTCTGGAGTGCATTGTTCAACCTGATGCCATCTGCTGGCCCCATAATCTGTATCAAGTCTTGTTTACCCAATCGTAAGAGATCAGCACCTTAAAAGCAGGAATTTGAAAACATATTTCTTCAAATAAGGTTGGCAACATGCATGTATCTACAACACCTTGTAGTGCATTCAATATGGAAAAGAGAAGATCTATCCATATCAGTGAATACCTCAGTCCACTGGAAGTACTGATTTACCAAAGTCTGTGGATCGTGATACACGTATCTGAGCTCACTGGATTAGGACGCGCAAATAACCAACTCATATCAGTGGATACCTCAGTTTTCCTGATGACAAGTACTGATTTACCCAAATTTGTTGACAGTGATACTTGTATCTGAGCTCACTGAATGAGGACAAGCAAATAACCAACTACATGTAGTATCAGCGGATACTTCAGCCATGGGCATTAACTTGAACCTACATAAAGTCATCGTGATCATGAGCAGTCTCTTTGACTCATTCATTCACAATGAGGGCATTAACTAATCAAATGTGTCTGATGTTGTGATTTACCTGCAAAGTTTTGAAAGAGCTTAGTATATGCACCAAAGCGATTCTGCTTCAGCCACTCCTGAGTTTCCTGAATACTGGTGCCAACAGATGGTGTTGCCTTCAAGATTAAGGATGCGTAACAAAAAAAGTTACTTGTAAACTACAATAAACATGTTAAAAAGCTCAAGCAGGTAACTTGCATTTTTCATAATTTTGTCTTCACATGAATATGCAACACTAAAAAAAATAAAGAATACAGAACTAAAAGCATTCTCTTACAAGTGTTTCCATGGACAAAGGTTTATTTTTTCATTGAGCATTTTGGCTTTAGGAGTTGAATTTCATTAAAAAGCATGACTACAATGAAACTGAAGACCTACCAGGAAATTACTTGCAGCTAAGTGTTCCCCCGCCTCATTTCCAGAAGACTGGTTGTTGGCTGACCTACAAGTATGAAACGGAAAGCCATCAACTCACTTAAGAATGTTTATCTCAACATTTTGAAGGCTGAAATTTTTTTATTTTTTAGAATATTGAAATATTATATTAAGAAATGAAACTTTGCAAACACTTGTGCTCGCACAGCCTCCTTTCAAGGAGCACCTCTAAGGAAAACACATTTTCTCTGATTTTATCTGTTCAGATAAATATACAAGTATCCAAATCGAATGCAGTGTCATTTGTCTTCAGAGCTCAACTATAACAAGCTTAAAAGGGCTTTTTGACTGTTCATGCCCAGATGTGAATTCTGAATGTACATGTACGTTGCATCATGTGCTCTTTAAATGATAGGAAATTCACTTCTTTCTTTGCAAGACATTTCTGTACCTTTTTGGCAGACCTGTTGGCAACTAAAACCTACAATGTCCCCACCATTCCAGGAAAGTTATATGTTCTGTGATAAAGTGACTTCTCTCTGCTTAGATCTCAAAGGGTCACATATAATTCGATGTGCCAACATTTTGTGCCTTTGACTTACTCATCAAATGATCCAAAGGAATCATCCTGATGGAAGATGGGTGACTGGTCTCTAAGCTGTAAGGGTATGGGGACGTTATCTGAAGGTAACTAACAATCAAACACAAACATTTGAAAATTAAGTGACAAAGCCTGTACATGTACATTTAAGATGTCTTTAGGTCCCAAGTCTTTCTTTTCTTTTACTGATAATACCAGGTAACCATTATCATTTACCTAATTTTTAAAGTCCCAGTGTTTTCCTGTACATCACTCGCTTGAGTGATGTACAGACAACTTTTCCACATTGGTTAGCTACAGTAAGGGGTTAATAGTGCTATCAGCCACCTTCAGAACGGACCAGTCAAAAGATTCCGGATTCAAAAGGTTGTCTGAGCTAAAGATGAGCTACTGGGTGATAAAGGTCTACAGGTGTGTATGTTACTCATAATAAAGAATGAAAAATTTAGAAAAGATGTGTTGGAAATGGTAACAGCCTGTTAGTAGCAGCACCATTCACTGATCATTGAGTAATTCTATACAGAATTTTCTTCACAACACAGCTTACTGCATGCTGAATTCATGATATGCCAACTAATGTAAGTTATACACTGCATGTATCCACAGCATAGCTAAAATGTCACTAACACACTAAATAGAAGAAACTACCAAGCAAAAATATCATCAAGACAGCTTCATATAAATAAAAATACATGTACTGACGAGTGCAATCCAGTGTCAGGACAACTGATGTATGTGTACCTGTCATAATGACATATGTAAATCATGGGCAAGGCATGCAAGACCACAATTTTATTATTTCGGGATTACATATTTTTAAAGAGGTGATATTTGAAAATTGGAATAAAAATGAAGAAGGACCACTTCTGAATGAAGATGCGCCATTGTTGTGTCTCACTGGGTTGGTAAACAAGGGAACTGGCTCTAGCCTGGAAAAATGTTTCAAAAAATGATACTTGTCTGGCTACGGATG